TCAATGCTCCTCCTCATCTCCGGAGCCTCCTCCATTTTCCAAAGTAAAATCCATCACATCTCTTGGAATCACAGCACCTAGCACTTAAACTACCTGTGATGAACATCTCTCCTCTACCCTGATTAGGTGGTCATCACTTCTCCTCAACTAGTTGGCCTCTTAGGAATATGTACTACTTTGTTCCCTCATGGTCTTGTGGAAGATTTTCTCCTTGTCACAAACACCAAATTCGTGATAGTCCCTGGGAAAAACAATTTGAGACTTAGAGGCATGATCAGGCACGCAAAACTGCAGCCAAAAGAAACATAAATAGCACTGCACTATAGCACAGTAGCACTGTCCTCCCATTGTTCATCGATTGACTCAAGCAGACTCCAGTAACGTCTCCATTGAGAGACTTGTTACTGTTTCTGGCATATTGAACATGCCACAGGGAGCTTGCCAGGCTCTGATGTGCAGAAAGGATACTCTCAGTAGCTTGCCAAGCTCTCTGAGAGGGACAGAGGAATCGAACTCAGGTCCACCTGGTGAAGGGAAATGCCCTACCCGCTGTGCTATTGCTCCACCACAAATGAAAGAGTGCTACAAAAGAAGCATAAATACACCGATAAAAGGCTAAAATAAGAGTTGAGGATCTTATAGGTGTAGAGGGCATCAGAGGCAAGAATATAATCAGAAAGAGCCCAGACTTTGTACTGTAAGGTGCCTGCTGATTGTGAGACACCACAGTCTCTGCTCCTCATGCACCACTGAATGTTGATGTGCTTACCAACTGTCCTAATGTCCCTGTTAACTTAAACACTAGCTTGCCTGTTGGGACCCAGTTTGTAGGGAGTGGTATTACATTGAAAAAACAGCTTCCTGCGAGCTCAGTGGGGCTGCCCAGGCCATCCTAAATCTTGGACAGTTCTTCTATGTGTGTTTGTGGTCTCATTGTGTGTCTGTTTGTCTCATTCTCTGTGACTGACTCCAATGCACAGAGGTTGAAGTTGACCATTCAATTGGCCTTATGAGGTAGATTTCCACGTAGTCTGACTGGGTTTACAGTCTCTGTTCCAAGGACTTGGGGAAAGTCTGACTGAGTCTCCCAAGAGCACAGGGACCACCAGCACCTGAAGCGTTGCTGTATCACACAGAGGTCACCAGATGGCAGACTGACCCCAGAAGTGACAAGAGAATCCCTAGATCTTAGAGTCACAGGCCTGTGGTCAGCAGGTCAGCAGCGGCAGGGGCTCTTGGTGTGGTGGGAAAGTATGAAGCCTTCAGAATATGAGTTGGAGCAATATTTTCACCCTTTTCTGCTTTGGAAAGAGAAGTCCTGTCCTGCCAGTCTGCTATGAACTGCTTTAATGCCCCAACCAGTTTCACAATGGGAGACAGAGCTGTAGTGTCACTTAAGATACAATGAAGTCACAGGAGGGCACAGGTGGGAGTATAGAGACACCAGGGATCCACTCTGTGTCCACACACCCAGTAGAGTCTGTGGGGACAAGGGAAGGGAGGGGGTCCGGCTGACAGGAGGAGGGTCTCAGGGGAAGTAATTCTGTAGAACCTTGACCTTCTTCTCCAGCCTCCCAGAGTGTGAGAATGTCGGGTGTGTGATGTGACCCCGCAGCCTGTGTGTTCCTGGGAGGGAGCAAGACCTGACGCTTTATACCCAGGCACCCTCTGGGCAGGGTCAGCCTCATGAGGACATCATGGAAGTGGTGGAGGACTTTGCCATTCTCTTTATCTCACCCCTTTGTGCTCTAATTTCTGAGGGAAAAGGCCTCAAGAATCAATTATAGCTTAAAGTCTAAAAGTCCCACATTGCCTTAGAAATAAAGCTGTTGGCTTTTTTTGTTTTCTGATCAGAAAATGCATCAGATTGAATGAATTAATTTCCAGGTGTCAATGTATGGGTGGACTGGAGCAATAGCGCAGCGGGTAGGGCGTCTGCCTTGCACGCAGCCAACATGGCCGACCCGAATTCGATTCCTCCGGCCCTCTCTCGGAGAGCCCGGCAAGCTACCGAGAGTATTCGATATGCCAGACACAGTAACACCAAAGTCTCCAATGAAGACGTTACTGGGCCCACTCGAGCAAATCGATGATCAACGGGAGGGCCTTCACTTACAATGTATGGGTTGTCCTGTTCTTTTGTCCACTAAGATGTCACTGTGTGGCACTTCTCCAGCTTCCCTGGCTCTTTCTAGGAGAGGGTCCCTCACCTGCAGGGCCACAGTGTGAGGAGCATCTCATCCTGAGATCAGCCTAAGCCAGGGCTGCAGAGAAGGTACATGGATTGAGGGTTATGCCTTCAATCCATCCAAATGATCCCTAGAAGCTCAATTTTCCCGAGTATGGGAGCATTCCTGGAGGTCTCTAGTACCACCTGGCTCACCTTGGTAGACAGACATGCGGGGTTGCCTGGATGTCATTGGCGCAAATGGCCTCAAGCATTTCCAAGAGCTCAACTCTTAGCATTGAACTGTTTGGCTCAAATGCCCAAGAATTGCCTAGAGTGGCCAACACCCACCCCCAGCCTGGTCAGGAGCTTCTGCACCATCACAGACACAAAGAAAAAATCAGTATTTGTTGTTATGCTACTTTTCATTACAGTCTACCCTGCTTCTCTGTCAGGATTGGAACAATGAGTATAGACATACGGCACTCTCACCATCCCCAAGAAATTGCTCCAGGGTCACAGACACCCCTATTTAGACACTCATCTCCCACCCTCAGAACCTTTTCTGAAGTGTCTGTGGACTTGGTTCCCCAATAGCAATAGGACAGGGTGGCAGCTCTGATATATCACTCTCTCTTCTCCTCCCAATGCCTTCCACACACAGTCCCACCCTATCTGCTCTGACTCCCTGATGAACCAAGAACATGTGGGTTCTCAGAACCTCTGTTTTGGACTCACTGACCCCAGGTCATCTTGCATCACACAGGCTATTGTGGCTGCAGAGTTAAAGCCCAGGATTCTTCTACTTGCTGCCATTGCTGACCCCAAGTTCTGACCTGTCTCCATGAATCCGTGACAGGTTCTTTGCTGGTAAGTGCAGTGCAGGGAGCAGTTCATAATACAGGGATTGGTTAAAAAATCCCTCAGTGGGGGAAGAAGATCCATTTGGACCAAGATATTGCTACGGGAAAAGCAATGGCGCCAGGGTGGGGAGATCTCTCCAGCTAAGTCAGGTGTGAGGCAGTAAATGGCCCTGGAGGGTCCTTTCCTGGGCCCTGCAGAAGGGGAGCCCCGGGAGCTGCTCCTGTTTGACAGAAGAACTCGGGGAGTCCCCAGTCACTGGCTGATCACTGGAGAGGAAACTGTCTTCTCTAGACTCCATGATCACTGCAGGGCTCCCCTGGGACCTGCCTCTTCCTGGGGAATATTACAGACCCTACCCAGGATACTCAGTACTTTAGCATGTGTATGTACTTCTGGGCTAGTGGTTAAGTAGATTCTGGATTGGTCTGTTGGGTGCTGAATTCAGTGATAGGAAGATCACAGGACTGTGCAGGGAGAGCTGGGTTTGCAGTTCCAGGGACAGTCTCTAGAATGAAAGAATATTGATGTTGATGGGGTGGCGGGATGGCACCCTTAGGAACCCGGATGCTGACTTACACAGCCTGGATCTCTGCTCCAGGACAGAGTGATACTTCTCCTTGTGTGGTTCTATCTTCACTCCACACAGACTATTCAACCCTTTGTGGCACCCTGCATCCTATAAAGGTGTTTGTCTACTCTCTTGAATCCCATAAAATGTGAGGATATTTTCATTTGCTGTCCTGTAATGCTATCATCTCAGTCTTCTTAAGACATTGGGTGGTACATCCAGTATCTGAGAGTCTCTGTATCTCTGGAGCAACACAAGTTTCGAGCAAGGGATGCACCTGTTTTGGGACAGAGAAAATTCAATGAAAACTCGATAAAGTTGGACTGTCTCAACCACCGCATCTGAACACCAGCTCAGGGGAAGAGGATGATAAATGGAAAGAGATGTTCAAGAAGGTCAAGGAATTTTCAGGTCTGTTTTTTATGAATTAGAGTTGGGAAAGGAACACGTTTTTGAAGATGAAAAGGGAGAAATCTAACCCTTTGGCTGAGGTGGAAGTAATGGGATAATATCTCAGGTGAAGAAGTCTGGAGGGATGAACAGGGGAATGGGTTGGCCTGTCTGATATTCTCTATCTTAACAAAAAGTTATGATTCATGACCCAAAAATTTGGTAGAGTTTTTTTCACTCATTGCATTTCTGTCTGCTAATAAAAACCATTTCTCACACAAAATAATACCAGAATTGGTGAAGGAGACTGACACCTCAGAAGACATGAGCCGGGCTTCACATGAGAGCCCAGGACCAACATTACCCAGAGTACCTGAAGATAAAAGTCTGAAAGTTCCCCACACTGCAGCACCACAAAAGCTTTGCATCCATGGGCCCCAGCATTGAGCTGCTCATACTGGATGACTGAATTATGTTCAGAGTGACTGTTGGGTTCTCTGAGCACCAAAAGAGAGTCCCCACTCCACAAAAAGAAAATTAAAAACTTTTAAGCCCTCCATAAACTCTGTAGTATTGGTATTTCAATATATATTAGATCAAAGAGAAAATCTTTCAAGTATATCCACAGTTGGGAATTAAAGAAGTCTGTACAATTCCTGAGAGTGTCTGTAATCGTGTGGTCTGACAGAGCCTGTTCCTTGGGCAGAGCCAGCAAGAAGCCATGTCCTAACTCTCAGGAGACTAGGGACCTGTCCTTATGTACTCACACTGAGGACTTCCTGGGTCCTGGAGAGGAGCATGTTCTCTGTGGGCAAAGTTCTGCTTCCCCACAGGGACCTGCACCCCTGATCTCCCTGCAGCTGGGCTGGTCCCCACACACACCCTCCCCCCTCTGCCTGCCCAGCCTGCCCAGCCCCCTCTCATTTGCAAGTCCTCAGGGCTCATGCCTGGACACTCAATAATAGTCTGTGTCACCCTGCAGGGTCAGTGTCTGTCACACCAAGAGTGGACATGAGGGTCCCTGTGCAGCTCCTCAGCTTCCTGCTGCTCTGGCTCCCAGGTAAGGAAGGAAATGAGGGTTTACATGAAATTGGACTGCCCGTCTCTTCAGGGAAATTATCTAACTTCTGATTAATGATGATGATGTCCACTTATATATTTTTTTATCTCAGGTTCCAGATGTGATATCCAGATGAGCCAGCCTCCATCCGTGTCTGCATTTCTGGGAAACAAAGTCACCATCACCTGCAAGGCCAGTCAGAGCCTTAGTAATTATTTAGCCTGGTATCAGCAGAAACCAGGGAAAGCTCCCAGAGTCCTCATCTATGCTGCAACCAATTTACAACCAGGCGTCCCTCCCCGGTTCAGTGGTAGTGGATCTGGGACAGATTTCACTCTCACCATCAGCAGCCTGGAGCCTGAAGATGCTGCCACTTATTACTGTAAACAGCATAGTACTCTCCCTCCCACAATGATACACGCCAGAACATAAACCCCCAGAGATCAGCTGTGTGAGGCTGGGCTGCCCCAGCTGCTCCTCCTGGTGCCTCCCCCACGGAGGGTGTGTCACATGCAGCCAGGCTCTGCATGACAGACATTTGTGGCACATGTTGAAGAAACGTTTTTAGGCTCCATTATTCTCCCGCTCATCCCAGAAGCACAACATGAAAATAGATCAGTTTATTGAACTTATAGAGACAATTTTCCTGAAATAAGTAGGTGACAGTGTCATTCAGAGTTCATATTTGGTGGTCTGGTCACTCTTGAAGTCCTAGAAACCGTGTTTTAAAAGATAGTTTTTAATATCACACATATTGCCACCCCATTTGTGAGGACCCGTGAGAACCTTCATATCCTCACACTGAGGGTGTCTCACAGGGTCCATTCTCCCCTGCCATGATGTCCTGTCTGATGTGGGCCAGAGGGAGAGAATGTGTCTTACCAGGGGACAAACTCTCACAATCCTGCAGTGTGTTTATGTGTGTGTGTGGCGGGCGAGTTTGAGGGAAACTGAGATCTACACCCTTGACTGAGGGATTTTGATCCTGAAATCTTTAAATGGGAAATAAAACAATTTTAATGACAGGAACTGTGGTATACTATCCTGGATGCCCTTGAATGTGTAAATGGTTACAACCTTCATTTCAAGGTAACTGGGGGGGGGGGGCAGACAATTCAGACAAGAGATCATATGCAAAAGGAAAATGTCAACACCCTGTACTTAGCCCAAAGTCTTATACTGAGTCCTCGTGGGAGATACCCTAGATCATATCGCCTGAGTTTCCCAGCATGGCCAGGACTTGACACTCTCAGAGGGAAAGTAAATCTACGAAAATTATTGTTACCTTAGGAAACTCCACATTATTGATGATATTTTTCCACTCTATTTGGCCAAAAGTCCACCATTTATCTAGCAATATTGATTTTCCTTGGATTTGAATCCCTAGAATGGCAACATAAAATGTGGGGTGACATTGGTGGAAATAACGTTGACCTCTTTTGTTTTCCACTTTCCCTAAGCACAGACCAACCAGTCAGAGCCTTTGCTAAACTTGTCCTGGCCTGTGGCCAGCAACCCCTGGGCCATGGAGTTGCTGTTCCCTGAACACGGGCTCTGAGTCCCCCAGACCCTGGACTCTGGCTCCAGCTGAGACCGGGAATGTGGGGGCTCAGGGGCAGGTGCCTGTGACCCGGGCACTGAGATGGGACCTTGGATCAGCTCGTGCAGTGTCACAGCCCTGCCTGTTCTAGCATATCAATGGCACTAGCAAGACCTTGGGACACAATCAACACAGGGATTCCCTGGAGTTCCGTCTTCGTGTCTGGGTTCTAGTGCAGCCAGTGAGCCCAACATCCAGCTTCCCTCAGGGGCTCAAGAGAGTCTCCATACGCGTCCAACAGCAGCAGACACCCAGGAAGTTTCCAGAGATCTGCCACGTGTAGCATCCACACTGACACAAATATCACACACAGTTGACAGAAGGGAAGAGGAATATCTATATCACCTGTTGTCCTGGCGATGTGGCTGGGTTTTACTACCTAAAACCTCACCTTTATTTTGATCAAACATAGTGGAAAGATTTTTAATTCGACCAAACTAAAACTTTAAAATGATAAAACAAATGCTACTACATTGCACAGAGTAGTTTTTACTTTTGAAGTACCAAAAGGCCATTTTTGGAAACGTTTATGCTGCATAAATTCAAATCAAACATAGCAAAAAATAATCCAGGCCCTGGGTTAGATTTGTGATGCCAACAAATTAAACAGTGCTATTGGGCACTAATGGTTGAAATGTTACACTGGTTTCTAAAGCAGCCCCGAGGACAGACCTCACCAGTCATATCCAGAGGCTGATGGCTTCTGAGGCCGCCTCATTGGAGCAGCAGCTGTGGGTCTCAGAGTGAATCTGGATAGTTCTGGAAGGAGGCATGGAGCTGGATTGACAAGTCTACCTCAGGAGTCAGGAGCCCTCTGCTCCCCGACACACCCTCACTCCTCACCTGTCATTTTACCTGCAGGTTCCTCTTCCTTCCTGAAGATTTTTCTGAAATTAGATCCATGACATGTGTGGATGAAAGAAACTAGCACTTAGCTCCTGGTGACACATATCCCTCCTGAAATCCTGGTTCTCTCACAGTGATACATGCCTGAACTAACCTCCCCAGAGATCAGTTGTGCGTGGCTGGGCTGGCCCAGCTGCTCCTCCTGGTGCCTTCTCTGTTGAGATTGTCAGATGCAGCCACATGGTGATTCCACAGAAAGTTGTGAGTGATGTCACAAGGAGGTTCCTGACGCCCCAATTCTCTCCCCTCATCCTGATTCCAAGCATACAGACATGTTCATTCTGCTGATGTAATCCTTAATAAACAACAAAGTTTATTAAAGGATTGGAACCTGAGTTCTTTTTTTATTTTTGAAGTAAAGGTAAAGGTAAAGGCCCTCCCGTTGATCGTCGATTTGCTCGAGCGGGCCCAGTAACGTCTCCATTG